AGCAATAGAAACTTTTGAGGATGTAACTGTACAGACTACTATTTGTGTAATATTTTTAACTGCACCTAAAAAAAACAATAAATAAGTTTCTATGGTAATTCTTATGTAGCCTTTTGTGTATTTCAAATGACTCTTTTTCTCTTATCTTAAAAGAATCAATGACATCCAGTTGAACGGAATAATCCTTAACTCATATTATGAAAATAGGATTGGTTAAAAACAGAAACAGTTAGTAAAAACCTTTGTTTAGATGAATTAATATTCTTTTCGAACATCAAAATGTTTAGAAATCTTAAAGTAGCTAAATTTTTAAAATAATGATGGAAAATCCTTGATGGCATAATAACCTAAAAGCCACCGTTGATAGAACCAAGCACTTGTATCGTCTGGATCAGTAAAGGCAGCACTAAGCACCATTTTTAATTCCCGCTTATAGTGACTATCTTGTATTGGTCTTCCCCCTGAAACATATACATTATTGAGATATTAAATATTCTCATACATTTAATGACAGTTAAAAATTTTAAATAGGACCGGGTTAAGGGAAGGACCATTGGGGCTATATCCCTTCCACAAAAGAGAGGGGTCCTCAATAGAGACTTGTAAAAATCACAAATTTTCCTTTGTAAGTAAATATTTTTTATCACTGTTTTACCTTGACCTACAACCTACACGAGTCTTTATTAAAAAATATTTACCTTCTTTGTCTGGAAATAGCTGAAGTAACATTTTGCTCCTATAATGCCAAGCTGAATAATTCGAGAAGTTATCATGTAATTTTTCAGTTGTATAATTAAACTCTTCTTGCAAATCTGGTTTACACTGGCTTACCACAAATCGTCTGTAATCCCATGTATGAACTGAAAATATTTTAAGAGAAAAATACATATGTGATGGTCATTCTAGTTAAGTGTGTAACACCCTTATCCTGGTCATATTAAGTTTGATTAATATTTTATTATGTGCAATTACCAACAAGAGACTAGATTATGTGATGATTACTTTCTTGAGATTATGGACATTATCAATTAAGCAATGGGTCACTAGGCTTATAATATAATTTGTTCCTACAATTTCTTTCATCCAGTTTCAAATATGTATTACACAGAGCAAGCTCCTTTTGCCAATCAGGATCACTTCTAGTCATTAAAACCCACTCTCGCTGATGCCAAGCACAGTATGACTTTGGGTTTATTTTTAAGCAATACTCAGTTAGACTCAACTCTGCATCATACATTTTAGTCATTTCCATCACAGGAAGATTATGTCTGTAATAAAATATTTTTAGTTATTTAAACCACTTCGGTTTTTCAGTATTTACAAATAAGTCATAAGCCATAATCAAAATAAGAAAAGTATGTAATAGGTATGTGATATGTAAACCACATGTTTTGATTCTAATTCTACATAACTTTAGTTGTGAGTGAATCCAATTTTATAAAGCTATTAGTACTGTTTTCATACAAATACAAACCTAAAAACATTCAATATTTCTCTTCTTATATTCCATAAAGTATATATATCTGGATTCTTGGTCAATACTTGGCCAGTTACATCTAACTGCTCAGTGTCCAGCTCACATTTTTTTCTCTGTAACATAATTAATCTTATTATTACTACATTATGGAAGGGTTAATTTTCTATGTATCAAACACCAGAATGGTAAATCCTTATTATATCAGCTTTACCTAGTTTATTTCAAGCTCTTACATACATTTTTCATGCAGTAGCAAAAATAATTAAAATTTTTTTTTTTAAACTTGACAAAACTAGAAGGTACTTGAGAATAAATAAAATTTGATAAATGCAGGGTTTTGCCCAAGATAAAGACCTTATTTTGAATCACATGCATTGCATGTTTGAAAACCTTTAGTTTTTCTTGTCTCTCCTTTTCTTTTTTAACCTTTTCTTCTTCTGAAGTACGAACCTTTAATCTTCCATGCTACGGACAACAGAACATAATATTAATAAAGGAACTAAAATTCTATACTGACAATAAAAAGGATAAATTTTGGTACCATTTTTACTTAAAATAATTAAAATGAAGCTATTTTGATTAAAAACTTGTTTACTAATTTTTGACAATTTTACTACAATATTATTGAAAATTTCTTCATTTAGGTAAAGAGATCACAGATCAAGTAGAAATAAATTGTACCATAGAATGCACTGGAGCTTAGTCAAGATACCTTGTGGCTGTACTAGGTGTACACACGTAAGAAGTGAAACTTCTTTATGATCTTATTTTTCGAAAAATGATCTACTATATGCAACTTTACAGAAATTCGTTAAATTAGATAAAGTTTAACAAAAGGCTTTTATTATCATAGACATTAATACAAATATTTCATTTTACCTTATTACTACGAAGATTATTATAGAATTTCATTAATTGTAATAGAATTTTTACTATCATTGAAAAACGTGACGATTTGCTACAAAATTTCTCCCATACGTCGATAAAAAAGTTTCATTCCAACGCCGATAAAGAAGTTTGACTTCAAAAAGCAACATGGCGCGTAACCGAAAAATGTGACGCGTAACGAAAAAATGTTACACTAAATTTTTTTCCAACCTCGATAAAGAAGTTTCACTTCAATAGATTTTTTATGCAGAATGCCACATTCCTAGCTGAGATAAGATGTCTTAACAGTAGTGTATGTAGAAAGTCGAAACCTAAATTTGTATGAACATTACAATTTGTGTCGACAGTTGGTAGCCTAGGCCCAAAAGGCGTATGTCGGGATACAATAAGTGACGCCATGACAGTGCTACGAAAAGACACACATTAACGCTCTCGCTTTTCCGTAGTCAACGGCCAATTAATGTTTCAGCAGTGTAGAAAAAAACAGCGTTTATCAGCGTTTACTTGCTTATTTTTCTATTTACACTATGCAACATGTTAGAAAGATAATCAAGAGGTTCCTTGTTTAAATACACCCCTTTTTTTTTAAAAATTTTTTCCCCCCCCCCCCCCCCCTCTTCCTTTTCTTTTTTTTTTTTTTTTTTCCTTTCCCCCCCCCCCCCCCCCCCCCCCCCCCCCCCCCCCCTTTTTTTCCCGGTTCTCCTTTTTTTTCCCCCTCTTTTTTTTTTTTTTTTTTTTTTTGTTTAAATAAAAAATAATTATGATTGAAACATTTTTTATTTTACTACCTGTATGTTTAATATAAAGTAATTCCTAACTATTAGTAGGTACAGTTCATTCATATATGCCTAAGATGTACAATATTCGTTTATTTCACCAGAATATTGTACAGGTAATGCATATACGAATGTGAACCTCTTCAATGACTTTTCCTACTATAAAAGACATAAGATCAATAGTTAATACAATTGCCAAAAATAAAACTATCAAATACATAAAATAAATTTTTTATCCATTCCTTACTAGACTTATTCGATGATATTAACTTAAAATCTGCATTGTAAATGTTCAAGCACAACCCAAAGCTTTAATCAAACACTAATTTCAGGGTTCACGCAGGTCTAGTTCTTTTTCACATTGTATTTTAATTCCTTGAACTTTATCAACTGCTAATCAATCTTCTATTAACTTTTTATTTATCAATCCGTAGTACTATTTCTATTATTTCTTCAAAGCGGTAACTAAACATGTTGCTTCTTCATTTTGCAGATCAAAATATAAAAGTATGTGTAGTTGTGTACTACTAATCATTGTATATCACGATTATGAAGTTTATTTTATTTATTTATAACCTTAAATTTCTGAGAGAACATGAACCAAACCATAGTTAATTTTAACATGCAATTTAACTTAATATATCATGCCACTTAGTAACTTTCTATAAATTTCACTATAATTGAAAATTGGTTCCAACCTTGCTCGCATTCTTATGTCCATTTTGGAGCTGGTTATTACAAATTTAAAATAAGATTGTGTTAAGTTTTAACTTTTATTAGGTTTATAAATGTGACATTAGGAATACATTTAATCCAGAGACAATATAACGAAATAAATGTTACGAACATCGGCTTGGACTGGAAGTCGGAGCTACGCTTTGTGGTAGAGACTAGAGTAGTAAGTTAGTAACATGTAGGGATTGACATTCTGCATAAAAATCGATTTTTTATTAATCGATTATTTTTGTAGACATGAATAATCGATTAATAAATAATCGATTTTTCTTAAAAAAATAATCGATTTTTTTATTAATCGATTTTTTCCTAATTTTGAATTAATTTCAAAATAAACACCTAAATATTTTATTTTTCATAGTTTTTTAAATTAAAAATAAACAATAGAAATTATAAACACAAATTAACGTTTAAGAATAATCAAAATCGAAATTAACTTAATCTTGTTTTGATAGATTTTGATAAATGCTGAGTGTATTCCTTTTCAGTAGCACATTGCAGTATTTTTGTTGTGCTGCTGAATAAATTTATTTTACTTTTAAATTATAGTGATCCATTCAATCTTTAGTTTTGTAAAATTAACTGCTTTTATATCCTTTTGATGTTTTACAAAAAAAACAATGTATCAGTTATCAAACAAGATGTTTGATATACAAAAAGAAAAGAAACGAATTCAATGTATCGCATTGTAAACATCGTTGTGTATCGAATATCCCTAATAGTTCGAGGTCCGGGTTATAAAAGACCAGACATAATGTCGGGAGGTGGCAGATAAAAATCGATTATGACTGATTTTCCATTATAAAAATAATCGATTATTTTAAATATAAAAATCGCGTAAAAAAATCGATTTTATATCGATTATTTTTTCACATCCCTAGTAACATGTCTCTTGACTGCGAACGAACTACGAAGCGTAACAAATGCTGTGGTGTATGTAGAAAACTTTTCGCTAGCAATACGGCTAGACTCCCAATCCTTTAATATCTTTGTCGTCATCTGTTTTTATTTTTAATCTGTGAATGTGTAACTTTCTGATATTTTTTGCACCAATTTTCCTCAAGTATAAAATATAGGTAGTAAACTTTAATTTCATCACCGTTTTCAACAAAGGTAAATGAAACATGAATAATGCACCCCAATTTTCGTTACGGTGGAATAACTATGTTAGCCACGTTACAGAAGCTTTTAATATTCTTAGATTTGAAAATGATTTGGTAGACGTTACCTTATGTTGTGATGGTGGAAAAATAAAAGCACACAAAATGCTCTTATCAGCCTGTAGTAATTATTTTAAACAGATATTTAAAGAAAACCCATGTCAGCATCCTGTGATTATATTTAGGAACTTCAAATATGAAGATCTTAACGCAATTATAAATTTTATGTATCATGGTGAAGTCAATATATTTCAAGAGCAGTTAGAATCATTTCTTATTACTGCTGAACTTTTGGAAGTTAAAGGACTGACTGATAATTTAGAAGAAGAATCCTATAAAAACCAGATAAGAATAAATGATAGTGTTTCATTAGATTTGACTTCAAAATCAAAACCAGAATCCATAGTACAAACTACTTCAGAAGAACCTATAAACTTGGCTACTTTGCAACCTACCAGAGAAGACAATTTGCCCACAAATGCTCCATTTGTAGTAGTGGAACACGATAATATGTTTGATTTACAACTGGACTCAAATAAAGATAGCAATACATCACAATCAAAGCCTTCGGGATCATCTGATGAAATGCATGTTGATAATCAATCTACCTCAGTGGAGGATTTGCAAGAAAAATCTAGTTCAGGTTGGTATATACAATAAACATGAAGGAGTGTTGCATAATAGGTAGGTATAACATTTGTATTCTTATCAGAGATTTGAAATTAACAAGATTCTTATCAGAAAACTAAATGTCTTAAGCCCTTACTAATAATATAGTAACCTTACTTCTAATTGTATAATATTTGAAAGATTTACATGTATAATTGAACCTATATAAGAAATTTAAGATTTTGTAAAATTATACATAATATATAATATAATACGTAACCTTATTTTGATTTAGTAGCAGCTGTGCAAAATGCACCCCTTAACCAGGGTTAAGGGAAAGTAGTGTTCAAACTATAGCAATGCCTGCAGTTTTCATTGTATATTATGTGCAATTATCACTTACCCATATAATGAAGGATAATTAATATCATAATGACTTTTATTTTTGGTATTTCTATTTGTCTTTTCAGTGATTGAACACATTATCTTTTAATTCCCGTTTGCCCCCTGTACTATTAAAAAAAAAATACTTAACATATACCTTAACCATGAAAGCAGCGAAAAAGTGATAGTTTATATATTTATAACTTACCATTTTATGTTTAAATTTTCACAATAGGTTTTGTTACTTATGGAGAATGTTACCATAGATTTTTTAAATTATACCAAGGGTTATAGTCATAGTCCAATATAGTCTTGGAGGGAGACTTATTTAATGTGTCATTTTATGTTTAAATTTTCACTAACATGTTTGGTTACTTACAATATATGGAGAATGATTAGATGGGCTCACTCATTGACTTATTTAATGTGCTATAATTTTTTATTACAGAAACAGATTTAGCCAAGTTCCGCTGTCAACTATGCCCCAAAGGTTTTAAACATCCAACATCTTTAACACTCCATAAAGATTCACATGCTGGTAAAACACAATGCCCTGTATGCCGTCGGTCATTTTCTAGGTCTTATGACATGAGGAGCCACCTTCAAAGAATTCATCAAGGAAAGCAGCTTACTATAAAGGAAATAAGATACAAAAATTCTAATGATACTGTTGCAGCCAAACAGTTTACACATAATATTTAGTATATGGCAAAACTCTTGGCACATGGTGCAGCTGCCTATTATAGAAGTAAGCATATATTGTTATGGAAAAAAATACATTATTGTATATTATTTACATTTGATAAGTCACAAAGAAATTGCTCAGAGTTTAAGCTTTGGCTATTTTTATACTAGTCTATAATATTGTTTAAATATATCTGTTGAAATATGTATGTGTTTATTTGGAAATTTCCCAATATCCTTTGTTATTGACATTTATAGCTGGATTTGTTTTCCTGTTGACAAAAAAAATACTAAATCCCACTTATTATGGGATCACCATTTGGGTTTTTTAGTAAAGACTAGCTTGTCATTAATCAATTAATTTTATTTTGGAGATAAATAATATAATGTAAGAAAGGAAACTATTTATAATCTTATAAAATTCTTGTGTCACAATGTTAGTTACCTTACTCCTTTGAAACGGTTTGGCCAATTTTTATCAAATTTTATATGCATATTCAGTAGGTCTAAGAATCGGCTACTATCTATTTTTCATACCCCTAAGTGATATTTTACCCCCCCAAAATATTTTTTTTTATATTTGGACAATTTTTATTGTTTTTATTTTTTTATGATACAGCATACTAAAATACATGCAACCCCTAATTTTCACCCCTCTACGATCAACCCCTATTTTGTATTATAGTAGATAATTATTTTATTGAACTAAAAAAAGCTAGTAATATATAAAGTTTACACAATAAGATTAATTAACTATAACTCAGCTTACACCAGCAACACAAATTTTCGGTAACATAGTTTTATTATTTTCATAATAAATGAGACGATGCAATTTAATTCCCTACCCAGTAAACTGGGATTCCAAAATTTTTAAACTCCATTTTCATTTTATCTTGAAAGACGTAACACCTTGGTTGCCGCGGATTGGAGGTGGCAGGTTGTTTCAGTATTTAGCACTGCTAAATACTGAAACAACCTCAGCTTTATATGGCGACAATGTCTGTAGTTTATCTTGCAATTACGATTTTCATTTTCTTTGAGTAGTTCTTTTAAATCTTTGGGCTTTATTCAACGTTTTTTATCTTGCTGATTCCTGCTGTATGCCATTGTCGTCTTAGTCTTCTCTTCGCAGCATAGATATTTTATTTCCAACGTATGTCCTGACTTTGTGTTTTAGGTTCTATATATGGGGTCGATAGCCATGCTACTTTTTGTATAAGTTAGTAACTTGCCAAGCTGTGTCGTCTATGTCATTTTCACTTTTAAGGGGTATCGTAGGTTAGCTTTCTTCAATTTTCTCGAAAGGCTTCCCAGTCAGTTTTACGGTTGTATAAAGTCTCCCGTGGTTCTTTGTAAATAACTGTTGTCTTATGTGCAGATAACTGGTGTGTGGTCTGAGGAGCCATCTAGACACGATTGGACTTTAGTGTAGAGCCCAGATATCCCTTTAGTGATGAAGAAGTCGATAAGATCTGGCATTTTTTTCGGTCTGTTGGCCAATGGGTTGGTTCACCTTTGATATTACACTAAGGTTATTACTATCAATAGACTTTTTCAGCTCCCGGCCTTTTGTTGTTGTTAGTCGTGAGCCCCAGAACGTGTCTTAGAGTTCCAGTCTCCTCTACAATGTATTTCAGCCAGCGTATGGAAAAAGTCATTATACATATGCTCATCTATCCGGTGTCTAGGTGGACAGTACACTCACCACATTGAGTGATCCCTGCCAGTCATCTACAGCTATTATAGCGGCTTGTATGTGCGCATGTTTGAATGGTGACAGGATAAGGATAACGAATAAAGTTAAAAAGAAAAAAGTGATAAAAATATATGCGATGTTTACGGAATAGGTATATCACTTAGACGAACACCATATTGTTCAACGAGAAAATATTGCGTATTTTTGTTCCTCTTTGACGGAAGAGATTGAATTATTATTATTTTTTTCAATTTGAAAAAACAAGTTTACAAGATTTAAACTATAAATCGTTTGCAACATTTTATTTTCACGTTTCATATGATTTTTAAAGTATTTTTAGCCATTTTCCTGACTGTACGATAATTTATCGTATATGGATCCACATATACGATAATTTTGCGGCCCTGGTACGATAACTGCCTGGCTTCAGGTTGTGAACACTGTTTAGCAGTTAGTTCTATGTTTAGGAACAATAAGCATCGTGTATGTGGCGCCAGTTCATTTAAGCCCAGTATATAGGTATTCTGGTTCACGATGTCGTATATTATTACCAAAAAGCAATGGAGATGTACTACCTACTTAGCTAAATTTTGAATATATCTACCATATTAAATCAATGGACAACTAGTTGATCTATGCTTGTGTAATTTTCCCCTTAATTGAGTTAGGTAGGCATGAGAGAACTATTTTTATAAAAGTATGTACCTATGATATTTTTTTTAATGTAGGTTAGTTGGATAGCTTTTGGTTACTTGCAGTTATATTGCCCTACCATGAAAAGGTTCATACTACTTGTATTATCAAACTAAATGGTAAAATTTAATTTAGTAAGTTACTTGCGTCACAAACAACCAGAATAGGTAATAATAAAAAGAAGCCAGAACATGTACCTAAAGGGGCGTTCTGTCTTACTTTTAAGAGTAAGTAGTTCCTTCAGACTCAGGAGGAGATTATATTAAGCAAAAATATTAACAATTCAATCAAATTAAAAGTAACGTTTACGTACTGGTCTTATTTTTCTAACATTTGCTAGTCAAAAGCAACTTATCAACGCCCGAATATTTTGCCATTATAAAGCCGAACGTCCACCGCCGGCTAAACTAAATGAAAACTAAACTCAGTGAACTAAGCTAAACTAGAACTACGTTGTCCGTCCACCAATAAATAAGCTGAAACTACGTTAGTGATGGCCAGTTTGTGCTAGAACGTCGAGTTAGAAGACGAGCAATGACGAGACTTTAGAAGTAAGAGGAGGTCTATCGTCATAGAAGAAAAACATTGATTATTGCTTATTTTATGAAGAAAAAACGGAAACATAGATACTGGATAAGTCAACACATTCAGTCCTGGAAAACAAGTAGCGAATTTAACACTTTGTTTAATGAACTAGACGACGAATTTTAAGATGTTCTATCGTGTATCTACAACAGTTTGATGAGTTACTGACTACTGTCACAACACTGTCGACAGGCGTCAGAGGGCTAAGGCAAGGGAGTGAGAGGCGCTTAGTTTAGCTCAGTTAGTTACGGATCGGCCGCACAACTAAGTTAGTTCCACTCAGCTGGGGCATTTCACGTAGCTTAGCTGGCATAGTTTGCGGTGGACGTACATGTATTAAAAACTGGCTTAACTATGCGAGCTAAGCTAAACTAACTTAGTTTAGCCGGCGGTGGACGTTCGGCTTAACCGACGGAGGAGGTTATCAATTTGACGTGTAATTTGCAGCGACTAAGTCCCATAGGATATTGTAATCAGAGTGATAGTTGTCTGAAATGTCTCATAAAGAATCCATCTCGCGCCGCATCGTGATTTGTCGCTTATAAGTCAATGTTTTTTAAGTCTATTTTTATGGACTTAAATCGTCTCATAAACCTGAATTAACGTAATAAACACTTATTTTATTGCTTTGCATGTTGACATACATTTGACAAAGTTTCATGCAGATGGGAGCTCCGAGCTATACTACTATACTAGAGATGAAAGTCTCGGTGGAGAACAAGACATTCGCAAAGGCACTGAAATTTGTGGTGACGTGTCGTAATTATTACCTTATAAAAAATAATTTATGAACTTATATATATATAATTTCCGTATTTACTTTTGTATTTAATTGGGGTATACAGTGATATAAATTTAAAATTAAGTGTCTACTTCTAATTCTAGCGACGATTGACGATTATCTCAGAAAATCATAAAATCATTTTAATAGTCTCTCTTTGTGTCAGTCCAAGAAAATAATAGTTTATATACATTATTTTACATTAATTATTTAATTACTGACTTTTAAATATAGCTTATAATATGATTTTCAAACCACTCTTCATACAAGACCATTCATTACAAATAAGAAATATTTTTTGTTTCATGCTGTTTAGTGCATTTTGACTAGGTTCTATGTTTTTAAGGAATTTGTAAAAAATAGCGTGTTCTTAATTAAATTTTTTTGATCCGCTGATGTTCGATGTGAAGTTCAAGCGGCCATTATTCCTATTTAGTAGGTGTAGATTTTAAGAAGGGTTCAATAAAAAACATAGTTATAGCCTATAACTATGTTTTTCATCGATCCCGTTTACACCTATATTATAGATGTAACCGGCAATATTTTTTATATTTGTTAGGTATTATGCTATCCAATTTAAAGTATAAAAATAAATTATAAGGATTAGAAGTAAGAAGAAAAAAATAGTAAAAGTACCTATGGGTTCACACTCTGAGGGCTATTCCGAATAGGGGTGAAACGGCAAAGCGGCCGCGGCGGGGGTGTCAGGGGGTAACAGGCGGAGGGCGCTCGATACGCGCGCGCGCTACAACTTCACTCATTTAGTCGCATTTTGAAGCCTCTCGCGTACGGGCCGTGTTTTACGAAACGGAATATATTACTACACCGATCTCAAAAAACAAACACCGATCCCGTATGTATGTATTTTCGTGACAAATGTTAATTTAGTAATTTATACAGTGTTCAGTGCACATAATTTGTTAAGAAATCAAAATTTATGCAATTTGTTTACATTTGGCACACATGTTTGTTAATCAAAATAAATTAATTAAACCGTACCAAACCTAAATTAAATAATTAATATTGCTGTTTTTAAAGGTGCATCGTGATTTTTATGGATGGATTTATTTGATGTGATGAAACGTGATTCTGAAAATAGATTGATTTATTACTAGTGGTCGGGACCGGAAGTTGCCGTATCGGTTTCAGTGCAATGTAGATGCAGAAATGCTCTGCGGTTTCTTTATTAACATTAGTATGTGAATATTTGATGGTATGTCGTGAGCCGGAGCGCATACAGTTGAGATTCGTTCGCGAAACGTCACGCGGCGGCGCAAAAGGGGGTATTGATCGGCAAGTCGCGAGACGCCGGCGTTGCCGCCAGCCGCCTAAATAAAGCTCTGCATGTGTGCCGCCCTACGCCGAAGTCATCGCGACGACGCTTTGCATCTTGCGATCCATGCCATTTTCAATGTTACAGACATTTTGATAGTTCTTACCATTTTCTACCTAATTGTTTATCATTTCTAAGTTTTCAATCAGCGTTCATTAATCGTTAGTGAAAAACATAAGGTGCTGTACTACCAAACAAATTGTAGTCTAGTAGGACCTACTTTTTTCTCGTAATAAAATGTTTTTGTAAATAATTTAACAATATCGTGTGTGCTAAACGTAATTGCTTATAAAATACCAATCAATAAGTATTAGCTTACCTATTTCCAATATTAAAATTGTATAAATTGCATAATATGAATTAAGTGTCAAAGATTACAACCAGTATTACTTTTATTGTAGGTGGAAATGTTGGGATAAGTGCCTATTCATCTAATGAGAGCCATGGCGCGCATAGTAGTGGCTGGAGGAGCATTGCTCTACATCCTTAGTATAGCGGTAGAGACCAGTGCTCTCATTCTTCTACCGCACGACGTTCGCCCTGGACACGCCGTTCGCCATTTCACTGGAAACCACACTCGCTACACCCTTCTCGACCCTGAATTCACGTCATATTTCACCCTTTTGGATGATGGCCTACTTATGACTACAGCTGATCTCACACCACTCTTGAATCAACCATTAAACCTAGCCATCTTGGAAAGAACACCGTATAGCAGTTCAGCACATTCATTACACCTGTTGGTTATGGATCGTAGAAAAATGCTCAGTTTTACCACAATCAATGGCCTTCGTGGAGAGATTCCAGAAAATTCACCCGAAGGCACAGTGGTAGACATACCACCTATAAGAGCCACTGCCCTCGTTAATATTGGCCGTATTGCTTACAAAATCATTCAGGGAAACGATGATTCTACCTTCGCTCTGCGAGAAAAAGATACAGGGCCAAACTATGACCTTAAATCAGTCGTTACTGAAGGTGACGTCGAAATAGTGGCGTTGCGACCTCTTGACGCTGAAACTAAAAATTTGTATGATTTTATAATTCAGGCAACCGATTTACATGGAGTGAGTAAAGCTAGTTTGCCAATTACGGTTAGCGTATTGAATGAAAACGACCATGAGCCGGTATTCGATCAAGAAATGTATTATTTCGCTGTTAATGGGACCATTGAAAAGAACATAAACAATGGTACAGCACATTGGCCAAGATTTTCTAACATTGGTATTGTTCACGCCTCTGATTCTGATGGTGATCGTGTCTACTATTCAATAAAAACTCCGACTAATTTAGCTGTCATTGTGCCACAAACTGGAGAGTTAATACTCGCAGGAGAACCAGATGGTTATGATGCTGAATTGTTAGTAATAGCCCATGATGTTGGAACGCCTTCTAAAAAGAGTAAACCGGCTCAAGTATTTCTGGAATTTGTGGTTCGGGAAGAAAGAGAATTACCAACTCTTCACCGAGAGAAGCGGCGTGTGACACGCGCTGTTCGGCCCACAAAAAGGATAGAATTCACTGAAGCTGACGGTGAAGTAGAAGGGCGTGCAGTCTTCACTTTGGAAAAGGAAACCGACCGCGAAACCTTCAAAATCCGAGATGAAAATCCGTGGGTTACAGTGGAACCGAGTGGTGTTGTGAAAGTTAAAAAGAAGTGGGACTTTGAAGAGCTTGGACCTGAGAAAACTATCGACTTCTGGGTGACTATCACGAATGCCGGAAATGGAGGTAAGTTTTTTATCTATTTAGTAGCATTATATATATTACGTCATATTCATACAGTTATGCTCGTTATCTCGAAAGAATATATTCAACGTCGGAAGAATACTATGTATTCAGTAATTTTTATTGAAATAGTGGTCTCTTATTACGTGAAATAAGGTATGAAGTCATATATTTTTCACGCGTGACTGTCAGCATCACCTGACGCGACGTATCGAAATGCGCATCCAACCATATTATTATCTTGCGGCAGGTATTATAGTTGATCCTTATTGGAATAATACACACAGTCTCTTCTTTTCTTATATTATGATGTATATTTTTTTCTATATTAAAACACTAAGATACTAATAGTAATAAATACGTCTAAGAGAATAAAGCATTTTTTGAAACTACAATTTTTATCAATAATAGTAGTAACATGTTATTATTGTAAAACATTATTATCATGTATTTCAAATAAAATATGGACTTTACGGAAATTTAACTTAAGCGGACTTATAATATTTCTTTAAAGATTGAGATCAATCGTAAAAGGGACAGTTTGTAAACATTTTTAAAGATTCAAACTCATAATAAAACCTGAAACTAGAACGAGGCGAGAAGTTTTATGCCAAGAAAGCTTAGTTCGTGAAGACGTTGATTATACACTCAAGTTTTAATGCGTTATTAAAAGTTCACTTTGGATCTCGTTAAATCGACATGCGAGTGTGATGGGATCATGAACTTAATCTAATCGTTACGAGCCTTTTAAGAATACGATTATTAGGCTATTATGTTTTAATATTTGTATTATTATAGTTAGAATTAACTTTCAACGCCAAAAAAGTTGAATGACTTCAATTAAGTCCACACACATTAATCATTATGCGATGTAATCGAAATAATAGTACGTAGGTATGGCTTCTCTATTAGTAATAGAATGCGACAGTGTGTCCTAGATCAGTAGCACGAGACATCGGACAGGTGGAATTCCCATTAAACAAATCTTACCATGGATATGACAGGTTGCCACCGTGGTCAATGCGTAGATAATCGGAGACCTGTCGCACGGCTCCGATTCTATACGCCAACCCTACGATCACGAAGCAATTTTTCTTCATGGAATTTCTTATTGAATTCTTATTTAGCTTTGCTGTTAATTTCTTGAACTTGTGTGGGGAACATTCCAAGGCTGGAGAAAGTATAAAGCTAGATTAGATTAATCTTAAGAAATATTAAAAACCTAAAGTGTCTTTTTGTATGTTAAATGTTATTTTTTGATCGTTGCGTCATTTAAAAACAAAGAAATGTTTGCGGAAACTTAAATATTCGGATGATAATATTTAGAACTTGAGCTATATAAATATAATGTAAAGTAAATAGTAATAATATAAAGTAATATAGTTTATCAATTTCATGACCTTAAAATCTTCATAGATCGAAACACATGTGTTAATTATCGAGGAGAGAAATTAGTTCTGTGGGTGGCCGTTTTGGCGCAATTATTCTTGATCTGACTCGGAAATCATTATTATCCTTGAAACACTTTAAACGCGTAATCATTTAAATTCAGTTTTGGGTTAAGTTGTGATGTATATTAAGGTATAATTAGCGATAATTATTGACTTATAAGCATCTTTGATAGGAGGGCTAGTTACAATCATATATCATTAGTAAATAATAACAACGCTATATTAATATTCATTCGATTTGATAATAATGCAATATATTAACGAGCTTCAAATATCGGGTATTTCCCGATAGGTTCGTGCAAACAAATGAAGGAGTCAAGTTTTGACGACTTTATTTTTTAACTGAGGAAATGCCAGATAATTTTGAAGCTGGTATTCGGGATTATTTTTCCGACCCAATGTCGGCCTGATTGACCATAGACGAAATGTATCTAAGTTTCATAATGAATAAAACCTTTATCTTTTCTTGAACTCCGATTTTCAAAAATTTATTTAGCTGGGTTAATATGAATGTCAATTCTATTGGTCGATATTTGGGTCGGAAAAATATTCAGTTTTATCAGTATATATGTTATTCATTTGTTTTATATTTTAAATTGGACCCCATTTGGGTATAAGCTACCCTCTCCATGTTTTTTTATCGCAATAGTTTTGACCTCATGTCAGTTTCAAGTAAAGCCTCCTCCATGTTTTCCTGTCTTGAGCGGCTTTCAACCAAGGAATATAAATAATGTTCGTTCACCGTTTCTCGTTACCTTAATAAATACATAGTTTACTTAATTTTTCTCCTCAAAACCACGGGAAGTAGCTTGTAATATCTAAAACTTTGCTTTAACAAAGCATCTCGTAAACCATTATAATACTGCCTGGCCAGATTTGTTACAAACTCCGAAGTACCTTTATTGGAAGGTCCTCCCATGAATTAATCCTACATTTGCTCTTGTGTCGTCCCACGCTCTTTGAGTTTGCGATCGACAAGTGCTTTGATGTTTTAGAATATCGTTTAATACTGTTGGCGTGAAGTTGTCTTTATTGTGATCTATAGGTATACGGTATTATTAAAAAAAAGCTTAAGTTAATTTCGCGATGGTTATTTAGGAAACTGCGTGTGCATTTTTAAAAAATAATATTAAGTAAAGAGAAGGTAACAAATTCTTATACTTAGAATTCTTACAAAGTTTTAAGTTTAATTTATCCTTGTTAAAAACTAGTACTGAAGTCACGTAATTTCGTTTGTTATAGAAGTTGTAAATCAACGACAACTGGCTAAATTGATACGGTCCAGTGCAGTACAGTTTGTTAAAAGTCATTCATTCAATCAATGGCACTGGGTGCGGGCGTTGGTCGCACAATAATACTGGACAATTCCCCTCATTGTGTGCTAGCCACAATTACATATGCGAACTTCCTATCGACCCCGTCCGATCGCATCTGGACTACCATGAGTTTTGCAGTAATATTTTGACAATTTACTTTGGAGCTAGGCTAGTAGGAGTTGCTTTGTGTATTATTAATAGAAAAACCTAACTAAAGAATAAAAAGTGCAGAAAATTTAGCAGTTATGTGGACAAACAAACACAATTTTCAGTGAAAAACTGACTTTAATCGTAAACTAACAACTGATTTCATCTCAAAATTGACATGCCATAACCCTACTACTTTTATTCTTATAGTGCCATCTCCTTTCGAAGGTTGGCGATCGTCTTGGCTAATTTAATACTTGGACAGCGGATTTCGATGCTATGGTCACCCTTTTTACCAATCACTGTGCCTAGATATCGTATTTCCGAGACACGTTCCAAGGTCTGATTGTTGAGGTGTATAAATTGCGAAAAAGCTCGGGTGTTCGGCTTATTGTCATGTATTTTGACTTTTCTGCGTTGATGCTATTACCAAATTCAGAATCTACTTTTTATTGACTATATATGACGTTTTGAAGAGTAAACACAAATCCAAATTGGGCGCATAAGATAGCCAATACGATCGTAATTCGACAGTTGGTAGACTTTCTATAGTAATCAACAAAACAGTTGTTAACCGAGAGAGCAGACAGCATTTCAAAATCAGATAACTAAAATAACGTCTTTATAGCTTGGTGTTTAGGTGCATTATCGTCCAGACTTAGAAGCGATCATGGAGAGATTTTATTTTGATCCATTTCGTTTATTAGGATGCGCGCAGTTTATTGTAATTAACATGCGTGTGACCAATCTTGACTCATGGCCATGAATTCAAATGCTTGTTAACCCTAAAACCCGAATGCAGTAATTGTATATTATACTAGCTTTTCGATGTTGTGTGATGAGTTTGACTTACATAATATTAATTAGTTTCGTTAATAATAATAATAATTAATGTATTTGCAAAATTGGTATTCAATAGATTTAGAAGAAATGTCTTTACCTTTGAATAGTTTTTTAAAGTTATGAAAATTTAAAAATTACCACACTTGTTTGTACCCCTAAAATCACTAAAATTAATATAAATTCTTTTTTCTTATTACGTGCCGTCTAGTTATATTCAGATATTCAGAGTTGATGATTAGCGTTTAGTATTATTTCCGTATTTCAGATCAATACGATTGTGACATATCTGAGTCATTCACTTAAATTTTGAACATTACATCCAAACCATTATTTACAATTGTCTATTGCGAATTGAAGTCTAAATTGCTATATTATATTAAATGTCGGATTTCTATATATTAAATAAAAACGAGTTATATAGACTCTAAATCTTAGTTATATTCTAGAATAAAACTGATACTACCGGTCTATCAATCCATCCCTTATAATTTTTCACTTTTAATATTTAATTACTTTCAATAAATTTAGGGTGGTCAATTTAAAAAGATATCATCAATCATCATCGTACTTGTTTTTGAACATGTACAACTACTTCTCTATTAATGATTTTCTAGTCTGTAGGGAATCGCGAAAAATGGGGAAAGTCTTTGATGTATTACCACATTCGCCCTCGTATTCGACATTATAGTTAATCATGTTTGATTAATGACAAGGAATAAAAGCAGACCGGAAGTTAGAAGATGTTTTTCTTTATTTTATTGACGCGAGTATAAAAAAATAAAGAGAAATTTTGTCAAAATTAGAAACCTTAAAACTGAACTACGCTTTAGTCACGTCTTAGCTAAACGAATTTGGCCAATATTTTGAAATATATGTTTATAAGTATAGGCTTGCAAATAGCCACTATTCACGAAGTGATTTGTGCATACGTTTGCCACTTTATTTAGGTCTAAATTCAACAAAATAAATCTATCTATAAAAATAAAAATGAATCGCAAAATATGTTGTTAACTTGACTAAGCAATTTGAGTTTTTTTTTGTTTTATTCCTTGAACTCTTAGGAAGGCTCTTGTTAAGACTTTTTATGGCGTAAAGAATGGGAAAATATAAAAAAATATATTTTTAGTTTTATAAAGGACTTAAATTTTAATCTGGAAAAGCGTGAAGTCTTTGGGATAGCATAGCAAAATGTTTCATGCTACTACTAAGCTAAGTAAAAATCATATTAAGATTATCTCGAAAGTTTTCCCTACCAATTGGTATATGATTGCAGGCTCTTCATGAAGGTAGTCATAATAATGAATAATGGTTACCTTTATTGGATCTCTGTAACACGTTTCATATTACCTACCTACGTTATACACCTTTCGCTGTTTCAATTAGTATAGTAATTGTAATTAAATCTCTTTGTTGAAAATGTTTGTAGAACAATTCTTATACTTCTAACAGATATTACAAATATAGCTTATGTTGAAATACATTTCTAAGTTCGAATTCATTAAAGTTTGAAATATATATACTTTACGAATTTAAAGTTTTGTTTTTTATTAAGCTGTATATAAATTATAAAATTTTTATGTCTACTTAATACTATTATTATGAGAAATGAAACGGGATAATTTTGAAAAAGTGCTATTAATATTTGGTCTAGTTATATATACAATATACTTGGGTGTCTTTGAATTTACAATAAGTTCAGATTATTTCGAACAGTTAATAATTTTACAAAGTAAATAAGTATAGCATACACTAAACTGATGTATTTTATAAATCTAACTAAATTCCAATCGAAGCAGCAAAAAAATCCTTGATATCAAACAAATAGTTATTTAAAGGTGACTTATCAACCTGGTGCGCATTTTTTTTGGCTGCTGCGTCTCTCCATGCGTAATAACGTAGAAAGCAGTCCAAGTATCTTCCGACTGTCAACAAACTACTATTAAAAATATTACGGTGACATATATGTAGACGATTGGCTTAACCCCCAAGGAACTATTGTAAGTGCCGAGGAGTCGTGTAATCATGGTTTTTGCATACACACCACTTCATACCGTATTGTTCTGCTTGCTGTGGTTGTTCAAGAGCTCTCTGCGACCCTGATTGGCATTCACTATACGTCAATTCACCCTTCTGAACCATTACTAAGCATTTTTCACTTTGGTCACAAACTCCGAGAAGAAAATCAATGAATAAGTTTTTAATTAAAGCAATAGAAGTCGAGTTCGAAATGAATATTGTTTGCCAGCAGCATAAAATGTAGAATTTAATAAGCATAAATTCTTTCAATCTCAAAGAAAAGGTTCTTATACAATTTTATTTTAATATTCTTGTATCGATATTTACCGCTTGGTGTACGTATGTTGTGCTTTGCTAAGGTGTGCAGGGTCAAAGAGGGCGTGTATAATTGTACTTAAAATGTTACAACATTCGTCTAATTATAGATTTACCGATGTGTTGCTTTTAAGCGTTGCATAGTTTATTCTTACCATTACTTCCTTCGAGAAAATAATTGAAAATAAAACTACTAGATCACCACATTACGCGTGTAGTTAATGCCTATAATGTTTTTTTTTCACCATCTCCGCTGGTGTTAGAGGCTTAACGTATTTAAAAAAAATCTTATACAAATTCATTCTGTTTCACGTGAAGCAAATTTTATCATCTCCTTACATACAAAACAAACAGGCAAAATTAGTGACATTTGACATTTTTGACGTTCATGAGTGCACAAAACGAGCAAGTAGACAATAATGAATGATATTTGATTTGATTATATCTGCCAGATACATAATATATTTATTTCTAATTTTGTATAATTAATAATCTTGAGATTACACACGAAATTTTTATATAATAGTTAAGTAATCTATATATATATAAATAAAAACGAATCGCATAATATTTTACTAAGCGCGAAACTCGAAGGCGGCTGGACCAATTTGAGTATTCTTTTTATATTTTTCCTTGAACTCTGAGGAAGGTTTTTATGGAGATAAAAATTGGAAAAATTGCAATACATAAAACCATTTTTTATTCCGGAAAAGCGAACAAAGAAACACTTTGCTATGGTATTGCAAAGTTTTCCATATGTTTGTATGTACCTACTAAAACGGTTGGCTAATTAAAAAAATCATATTAAGACGAAACGAAGTTCGCGGGGCCAGCGGGTACATCTTAAATCTAAATCATTTTATTCTGAATTAAAGATATATATGTTGTTAATACTCGTTTACTATTTCGTATAGCTTTCGTTTGAAATCTGAATCAATCTTCTATCGAGACTGCCAGATTTTCTTTAAAATAGGTATATGCATTTTAAGAATTTTCCTCAAAGTACTTTTAATATGTTATTTTCTATCTAAAGTAGGACGTACAGTCTCTGTATATTCTCGCTACAAATTTCGTTACAATGAAGCTTCATTGTAGGTGCATGCTTTATTGCTTAGCTTGTGTGATTTATTAGAACTGGTATATGTGACTACGGGGGAATTGTTCGTTACTTTATTAAGATTTAGTGCAGCTTCGGGATTTAACATATCAAATTATTTTGCTTCCCCGGAGAATACATTATTAATGACCAAGAATTAACTCCCTTACCTTTAATAAATTAGGAGTAATTTTGTGCTTCTAAGCTAAGGTGTTTATGATATTCTGTTGATGTCCAAACAGTTAGACAAGGTCCTAAAATAGCAAACAATTTTTTTGAAGTTATACTTCTTTAGGCGCGTTATGAAAAATTGATGAGAGTGAAATTTTACGATGCGCGCGCATCGTGACACAACATTAACAGAATGAAGTTGCCCACGGAAGATGCTACGACATTGGACATAATTTAAAAACAACATTCGAATAATAATATAATTTATGTTACACTTAATGTAAGAGAATAATAATAAATATTTATTTATTTAATTTTTCAAATGTAAACTGAACTTTATTGACTATAATGACTCCTTTTCCAGTCTTTGATTATTTAATTGTAATTAATTATTTGCATGCAATCAAAATCTGTTTTTAATAATGCCAAAGAAGATAACTTCTTACGCGCGTACATTAGTACACGCACCCTTTTTTTATCAATTGGCCGACTTAAATACCGATATCGTCTTCTGGAATTGTAAGTATACTTCTACCTAATATATCAGGTGTATTTTTCCCATCCTGTTATATCATGTTTATAAAAAAATGGGTAAGAATTTTTTTTATTCAGTTCATTACTTTCAAGTCTCCAATGAACATACCCGTTCTCTTTTGTTTCTTCGCAGGTGTTAAATTTATAACGGCTTAAAGTTTATGATGTTAGACTCGTGCGTCAACAATTTGGCTGATTCGTGCTAGGTGATTATAACCACTTCTGGTTGCGAAAGTTGATGAGTGCTATAACATAACGCAGTAAGTGGTCGTCACGGTTGATTGAAGTGCGTCTTATTTATCAATGAAACTGTCAAAGTTGTTTATTTAATATTTATAGGTATAAACCGATGGCGCAGTGACTACTCTTGGCCTTCGAGATGAGAAAAGGCTACCGTATCAGATTTGTCGCTGCTGGTTGCCAACTTTGGATCGTGCGTATGTCAGTACAATATTTCGGGAGATGCCTTCTTTTCACTCGGAGCTTTCCCCTTTACCTTAAGGTGGTAAAAATAATATGCAATCTGGGGAAGAAAGACTGTACAAATCAGACTCTAGTCCCTTGTTGATTACTTTTGACCTGTTCTAACATATTTAGATGGTTGCTTACTTATGACCCTTTCTAAATTTAAAATGTACATTTCCGGTTCACCTATTGTCAACCCGAGTAATTCACGTTTAATCAACCTACTTGCGCTCTAATTTTACAGCTAAATTAGACTTTAATGAAACTATGTCACATCATATATAAATTATGCTGTTATTTGCAATAATTGAAATTGGTTGAATTAATTAAGCGATGGAAATTAAATTAAGAGCTGGAATCGTGACTATTCACTGCTTGTACCAGGCATTCAGTAGTCAGCAGAAACACTCGACTTCAATTCCAGACTCGAAATTGCACTTCATTTGCTTTCACGACGTTGCATCCGAGTCATATGTTCTCACGCTACGTAACAAGCCTCACAAAAATTGATTGATAGGTCTTTATAATAGCTAACGTGAATCGTATATAATTAAGAAGGTGTTATTCATAATTTAGGCTGTCATCATTTCAACGGGAATAGTTGCCACATTTCATCTACGTCAATGAACAGGACGTAAAAATAAAAATACGGGTCCGCGCATAGAATCGTGTTTAATCGTCGCTGAGATGCATCAGGGATAGCCACAGACTATATAGCCATAGAGTGTAGAGTCGTGTTGTTCGAGAAAGAATGCACGTATCGGACTGACGATGCAGCTTTTGATATCATAATTAAGCCGTTGATGACCGACGAGGGGCTAATGTTTATCTTACGGCTATAAATGGAGATGAATAATACATAAATTCGTTAATGAACGCTCGTTTCTCTTTTTGTATTTTTTTTGTCTTAAATACCTGCGTGGTGTATAAAAAAGACATTATACTTATGTCAGCAATTAGCTTTGTTCAGATCGAATGAATTCTGTATTATAAAAAGTGTACCGTAATGATTTGTAAATGGGTGTTGTGTATATGAATTTTTGACGGATTGTGGTGTTGGTGATGTTATTAAAATGGACGTAATATGGGTTTTTACCACAAATTTACAACCATAAAATCAGAATTTTAATAAAAATGTTCTCCAGCAAAACCCTTTTAAAGAATAAACATACTCACGCGAAATGACAATATTTTGTTACGTTTTGTTTGTCGTAAATAAGATTTCGAACGCGTTTTATGAATTGCATAGTAAGAGATGCGAATATTAAAATATGGGACGCATGTAAAAGCGTAGCCGAAATCTAAACTCGGTCCTCATTTTTCATACATTTTAAGAAATAAGCACAGCATCAAACGGATGCACGTGTGCGTCTCGCTCCCTCATTTTGCTTTTATTGTTACCAGCAATTACGCTTAGTGCTCCCAGTAGAACGCCCGCACATCGCAAATGAAAAAAAAAACATTCTTTTGTCTTATATCATATGATAATATCGCGGTAAATCGCTATCCCATAGTATTTAAATGAATAAGGATCGTTATCAACTTTACAAGGAATGCTATTCTTTTATTGGCTCGCCTTTAGAGCTTTGTCGAAATATTTACGCTCCATATTGAACGTGAAATTCCAAACAATGAGAGCGGTATCCCACTCCGGCGCATATGCGCCGCACACGTGCGCCCTTCCCAGATTCGTTTGAATTGAATAAACAGAACTGAGAACAGTCACGGTTTAATTTACTGACAATTTTTTCGACTAGTGTTTCTGTTTAGATACATTTTGCAATATTTAAAAAGACATTTTGAAGCATAATTTCTTTACAACAGTTATTTAATTGAATTCTTAAAAATATATGTTTGCTCCTACTACTTGCACTTGTACTTATACATATATGAAGTATTAATAACGAGACTTGTCAAATAATTAAAAATAAATCACTTTATTTGACGCTAAAACAGACGCAAGGAATCATTGAGATAAAATATTCATTTTGGTTAACTTTATACATAATATACTTATATGAGCACTAGCGTTTAAACTATGCCTAGCCTGTATCTAAAAACGCTTAATCCTTAGTGTCATTAACAAATTGGCTAAGTTGTTTATCATTAGATGTTTGTTCATGTGTTTTGTTTATTAAACTAAAAGAAAGTACAAAAATAATTTTGAACGTGCGCTATTATATCAATAGTATATATTTCCTATTTGTATTTTTGTTTAATTTCGGCGGTTTTATAAACGTTTCTGTAGGGTTTAACTGCCGTTTACGGCAAGTGCGATGTTACTCGAGGTCAGACATCGATCGAGTCGGCCGCGGCAGCCGGCACGCGGGTTGAATATCGTACTAATAACGTACTCAATGCTTATCCTGAAACGGCTTAGATTTACTAAAGGAGATGTAATTTATTTCGTATAACACATCTTTTTTATATATTTAAATGCCTTTCTAAATGTTTAAGTTAAATTAAGGAGGAAAGAACGTTCTACAACATTGCTATTGATTCGCTTCATTCTTTGTAATAGCCTCAAGTAGGTACACTAAGAAAAGAAAACCTTTATTTCTTCTATAGTATCAACGAAAAGGTCATTAGAAC